AGAACGAGAAGACCGGTCGCATCCAAAACGCCCCGTATGTGGACAACAGCTACAAGTGGGCCGGCGGTGGCCTACTGTCCAACGTTGAGGATCTGCTGAAGTTCGGCAATATTATGCTCTATAGTTTCAAAGGCGGCGCTCCCGACGGCAAACCCGGTCTCATCAACAAAGACATTGTCGATATGATGTGGACTCCGGTGAGACCTATTCTGACCACACATTAGACCAATCATTTGAATTCTCGATTACTCGCCCATTATATCTCTCTTTGTTTGTTATTTAAATGAAATGTTATATATTTACAAATTATAAGTTATAACTAATGTTTCCTAAAACTGTTTTTATTATTTAAAAAATGGTGACAATTAGGCGGAAAATACTTTGGGAAAGTTCGGCGCGGGTTATGGTATGCATTGAAATGTTGTTTCTTTGAACATAACTTATAGTGATATCACTTGAATTGGTATTTCAGGTCTCGGATGGCATACACTGAGGGACGGCAAGTGTGAGTACGCGTTCTGCGCTGAGCCAACGTTTCCCACTTGGATGTATCACACGGGCGCTGCGATCGGCGCCTTATCTATACTTATGATTGAGCCCAACAGTGAACTTATTGTCGCAGTTATAGTGAACACAACCGGTGTGTCCGGTTTGGGAGAGACGGCCACTTATATCGCGCATCAATTCACTCGTCATAATAATTGGACGCAAAAGTTATCGCAAATATTGTCTGAAGTCGACAAATCTGATCAATAATTTTCTGTTTTAACAAATTTATATATTAATCTATTTTTGTATTTATTATGATTTGATTCAAATGATTGCCGTCTAATGTAACGGATATTTATATTAATTTAAAATGATGTACCGGGAAAATATATTTACATTGAATTTATTATAATTGCTATTATAGTCACTAAATACACGACTTGATTGGGATAGACGTTGGGGCGGATATGGTATGTGTTTTGAATTCAATCATATTTTCTAACTCTATTCATAAATAATTGTTTTGACGCCAGGTTTGGGTTGGGGTGTCATCCGAGACGTGACGGCTAAGAATGCTTTCTGTGCGGAACCGTTGGCCCCAAACATGTTCTCACACGTCGGCGCCGCCATCGGCTCCTCATCTGTGATACTGATTGAGCCGAACAGCGAACTAATCGTTACTATAATCACTAATTTACAAAATGTTAACACTATTTACAACATCGCTGTGGATATCGCTCAACAATTCACTCAAAAACAAATATCAATACAATAATTGTGGCCAACCTTTCATTAATTCAACGCCAGTCAATGAATCTAATCTAGTTATAAATTCTTATTTATACTGTTAACTATGCTATGGTCTCAAAAAGTGCTCAAAAAGTGCTCAAAATTAGCATATATTTTTTTAAACAATTGCAAATGATTTTACAAATATAATGGTTAATATATTTTTAAATAAAATAAACAAATATTTAATAAAATTTGTATTCAAAAAGTTTACCACAAGTTCTTCGACAGAGAGATACAGAGAAGAGTTTTGTGTGTTTGTGAAAGTGTGAGGCAATGGGAGGACGTATTTGACGTTCAGTCACAAGACACGTGTCTATACGACTGGTCCCCCGACAGCACTGTTGGTGCAGTTGAGACGAGTGCGCAAATGGCAGTCACTGTTTTTGTGAAAGTGTGAGGCAATGGGAGGACGTATTTGACGTTCAGTCACAAGACACGTGTCTATACGACTGGTCCCCCGACAGCACTGTTGGTGCAGTTGAGACGAGTGCGCAAATGGCAGTCACTGTGCAGTGTTTGAGCCCCTCTTATCCATTATTACTGTTGAGCTAACGCTGTATTCCTGTATTTTGCAGTCATTTTTCCACAGCTATAAAGAGTGGGACTAAAAATATTGCTAACAATTTCGCCGTCATTTCCAAAACCCCGTTCAATATAATCATCGTTTAAATCCCTATTTTCTACTTATTATATCATATAATAAGACATTTATCGTACGGACGATCGCTCGCCGGCCAGAAATTGTTAGTAAAAGCATGTATTGAATGAAATAATACGTTAAATGCATAGATATATGTGTTTGGGTTTGTCTCTGGGTTTGCAATAATAACATAAACGGTTGAAAAGTGCCATTCATTTCAATGCTATACGAGTTGTATAGACTTAACGCTATTCTCCCCCTAAAAAGTCCCCCAAAACTAAGCGTTTCGTTACAACCAATGCATAGCCTTTTGGGCGCTATTTCTCAATGCATTTCAATCACACATTCATTGCTATTATTGTTAACAAAGTTTTAAACTTTTTTCTACAAACTTTGTTTAACCACTCTTTTTGTGATGTGTTAACAGCGGATCAGTTGCGGTGACACTTGTGCAGACATGGAAGCGGCCGAACAGAACTTTGATCTAAGCGAGTATCGGGTGATGACCATTGAGGACAACCACAAGCACGGAATGGTGAACCTCTTGAACTCGATTGTCTCGGAGCCAGCGATGGCCGACTTTAACGACACGAAAGCCGTGGTGTTTAAGTTGGGATCACTGGTGGAACTGTTTGACGACTCGTTCATCACCAGCGGTATCGGCGCTCAGAGTCGGCTCAAAATGAAGAGTTTCGAGTCGTTAGACGAATCCGATTTGCAGGAAATCAGTGGACACGTGAGGAATTGGTTGATCTCTTACTATAACGCCGACTCACTTATCGGTAAGCGAAGACATATTGCCATTAAGTTGTTTAGTATTGAACGTGAAATTTGTCTTTTAATGTCCAGAATCGCTGAAACTGGAGGAAGGCTTACAGGAGGAGATAGCGATGGCGGCGCTGTTGATACTGAATGTGTTTTATCAGTTGCGAGAGTCTATACCGCAGGTGAAGGACCAGTTGGAGGAGAGTTGGATCTATTTGTCGGACTTTGACGACCAATTAGAGGCCATGTGGAAGACTGATCGGGCGTTTAGTCTCCTGCAGACAGAACTGGAATGCGAACGAATCCAACGCTTGGCTGACAGACAAAAGTTGTCAAAATTGGAGAAAGAAGTGAACAGTTATAAGAGAAAAGTGAAACAATCGAAAGAAATGCTCGAAAAGTTGAAAAAGTTTGCCTCAAAGCCGGCGCCCAAAAGCCGTAAGAGAGGCGGCGGACAACAGACGCCTACATCCAGACGCGGCCGACCCAAGAAAGGCGGCGGCGGTTACCGTATGGCAACCGATTCGGACATTGAGGCCGATTTGCCTCCAATGCCGGGCACTCCGGTGCTCCTGTCTTCGTCGGGAACCGGCTCTTCGTGCAGATATTGTGGCAAATGGTTTAACGATCAGTTGAAACTCAATAAACACATTATAATACACGCCGGGAGTAAGCCGTTTGCGTGCGATTGGCCGGGTTGTGGCCGACCCTTCGACTCCAACTATAAGCTTCAGCGCCACCGCCGCTGCCATACAGGAGAGCGTCCCTTCGGGTGCCTGATATGCGACAAACGGTTCACCAGATCTGATAAACTTCGCGAACACCAAAGGCTTCACGAAAAGCATAACCTCATGAAAATGAAGGCCGAGTCCGAAGCGGCCGAGACTACTACTACTACTATCCTCTCCATTGAATTGCCCGACGCTGTGGTCAACGAATCCAAAGATGAGGACCAGGAGCTCAACGCCTGATCTCATTGTAATGCTGTATATCTTTGAAAGATATATTGTTTTTAATAATTCTTTAAATTTATATAAGTTTTTGGCTTTTAATGAATTTTGCAACTAATTTGTAATTAAAGCTATGATTCCTTGTATTTCACATTAGCTTTTAATTTATATAACGATAAATCAATTCATAACATAATTATAAATATTTTAAAATAAATCTTTTCGTATTAGTTAAACATTAATTTTATGCTAATTGTTATAACAATTTATATCAATTGTGAATCAAAATATTTATATCATTTAAAACAATACAACACATGATATAAGCATTGAGTTCAATGGAAAGAAATTTTGCAAAGATTTCTTTGTGTTTTGAAATAAAATTTAATATAAAATTTCAATTAATTTTCTTCGAAATCTCAATTAATTCATTACTTTGCGATACGTTTAGCGTTTTTGTCACCGCTTGACATAAGTTTGCGTTTTGATTGCAAACCGCGGCATAACTTCCGGCGGTATTATTGTTATTATGACGCGATTTGCTGAGCATTTGATTATAATTATTACGATAAAAGTTATAAAACATGACCCAAAAGAGGACGGCGTGTGCGATGAGAGCGTATGCGAAGCCGGGATGATATCCGCAGTCAACGAACAACGGTATACAGGCGTGAATGAGTGCGACAACGAATTGGACCATTTGTACGATCGTTAGGTATCGCTTCCACCAAAGATGTTTGCGGACAGTCGGCCCCAAAGCGGCCAAACAGTAATAGGTGTACATAATTGTATGGATACCGCAGTTCATCAATGGGAAGAAGGCGTTGTGACCGCCGGCGCCGAACTTCATGCCCACCCAAACACCCCACGCGACCAATGAGTGGTGCACCACATGAAGCACTGATATGTGTGTGAATTTCTTACGCAATACAAAAAATACCTGTTTGTCGGGTATTATTGTAATTAATTAATTTAATTAATGAATCATATAATAGGGGAAAATGTCTTTTAATTAATAATAAATTATTTGATAATTAGCACAACTTGTGCTCGTAATAGATTGATATCAAGACTATTGTTCCCCAACACATCGAAAGAGTTATATAAGTTTTAATTATGAAATAATTTAAATTAATTTTTATTGCTATAATCAAAATTTGGTAATATTAACTGAGACTGTGATTCTTAGAAGGGAATTACTGTATTATATAATGATATACAATACAGTAATGTAAAATATTCCCAAAACATCATTTTAATTTAAAAATATTTTCATTCAAAATAACTGAAAATGTGTTCAAATTAAAAAAAGTAAATGATATGTTTGTCTAATGAATACCGTGTCTGCAAACTCGACAATCTTGAGGAGCAGTAGCCACCAGCCCAGCCTCACGAGTCTCATAGACTCATCACTACCCGAGTAATCGATTGGTTCACATATTAGGCTGTATTTCCCGAAATATGTCATTTGTCCGCCCTTTCAATCCATTACATAGAAAATAATGTTATAAAATGCATATTATATTTAGTGATCAATTGTATATTTCTTCAAATAATTCTTACAATTATAAAAATAAAGGCTGACGTGAAGACCATAACTATATTATAAACAACTATTAAGCCTTCAATCCTGAACGGTGTCTTATCCTTCATCCACATCGGACCCAACACTTTGACGAAATAAATGTACGACAATATGAGGGTTAATATGGGAATTGGGGAACCCATGAGTGGCCAATCCATTATCCGACGATCTTTGTAAATACAAATCAATGTATATGTTTAATCAATTCAATCAGTTTAGTATTTAAATTCATTTTATTGCACGTATTAAATATATGTGTTTTACTAATCTTGTTTTAAAATCATAATTTAATTGTATATTTCAAGAATTGGCTCAATATTTGCAAATAGTCATAGATGTGAGCGTAGGTAAGACTATTAGCCGGTATTTCTTATTGTTTTGTAAACTAATTGTTAAATATATTAATAGAAGTAATTAAGAGTTGTTAGAAATATAAACAGAGAAAGTAATGGTATTTTTACATTTAAAGTATTGATAATTATTTGTTGGGTAATTGAGCATAAAGTAAAGCAATGTTTAATGTTGAATTATAAGCATATTTTTTGTTGATTATAAATTTATAGAATTATTGATTAATTAATTGTAAATTTTATATAACACATATCCATAATATGTAAAACTTTATTTGTAACTAGTGTTTTTATTATTTATTTAATATAACATAAGAGATATTTCTTTTAGTAAAATTTATTATTTATATATTTATTATTATTATTAATAATTATTTATAAATCACAGATACGTTTATTGCAATCTATTTTAACTTAAATTTCATATTAATCAGCAATTTTACCAGGTTCCAAAATTTGTATAATTAATTTGTAAAGCATGTGATAACTCACCCCCTTTAGACATAAGCCAAGTATACATTTGTGATGTTGTATTCAATACGTGTGCCATCGATAACACTCTAATCCAAACGCAATATTACGGTATTTAGTAATCAATGGATTAGTATTGACCAGAAAAACAAGTCCTTTAAAACTAATTTAATTTATAAACTTAAATAATAATCAAATTATAAAACAAAACACGAATTAATTTTTATTAATTCACAACATTTTCCCGAAAAAAATTTAACAAATTATAACATTGCGAATGAATTGTATTGAAAGCAAAACTTTTTTGAAAGAATATTAGACATAATTTTTAGAATAATTTTTTTGTTTCTTATTTTCGAAATAATTGTTGACATAGTTTTGAGAGCCGTTTAGCGAATGAATTGTTTTTAGTCACACTTTTGTAACCAATTGTAACCCAACTATCGTTTTAAGAAAGTTTTGCTTTTAATTAATCCAATAGAAAGGGAGGAGAGATTGGGATTGTGTTTGTGTTTTTCACCTAAGGATAACTACCGCATGTAATGTCAAAATTAATATCATGTCTAATATTGACGTGCAATCAGAGGTGGGCAGAGGAGGGCTCCCATGAAATGCCAATAATCGACATTAAAGTATAATTGAAAACTGTATGAACACATGAACTCATTATCAAAATAGTATTTATAAATTGTTGTGAAAACGTCTTGAATTGATATGAATGTGTGTTCAACACGACTGAGCGCTCAACCGATCATTAAATGTATTTGCGATTGAATTTCGATGAAATAATTATTGCGGAAAAGTTTTTTCACTTTTCAATCAGTGCTTATGTTTGCCGACGAATACTATTTATAGAGAGAAATGGTTTGTTTTATTCCAACACTTATTTCAAGCAATTAACTATTCATGTGTTAAAACTTTAAATTGTTATTTACATATTTAAACCAATTATATTTCAAACTAGTGCTTAATTATTGCCTTTATTTGCAATACTTTTGAGTAATAACTATTTATTTGAATTTTTAAAAGTTTTAAACTTATTTTTGTTTTGTATTGAAAATTAATTAAATTTATTATTAAAATATAGGTTAAAATAAATAAAGTGTCACTAAAATACATGTTAAATAAAACACGCATTGAATTTGTCTAGAAATGCATTTTCTAATTACAAGAGATGTCTATAAAAAGTAAAACAGTTTTAAAAGTTGTTTAAATTAATTTGATTTAAGTATTAGTAGTATTAAAATAGTGTATATTTGTGTGTAAAGTAAGTCAAGAACACAAATCAATATTAAACATAATAAACAATGTATTCATGAATGAATTTAAAGTCAGTCAATGTTTAGTTTGTTATACAAAAATCAAAGCAATGAACATTTTTTTGATACCATAATCCCATTGATTCGCCGCTCAATCCAAACGTCAATTTAATTTTTGTTCATTCATTGCTGCGAAATATTCACATCATTTGACTTTTAAAATTGAAAAACAGTTATTCAATACATTAATAGTAATTGGATTTTATCATAAAATATGGGTTTTTTCTCTGAAATTATTATAATTTACTTAAATTTTTTGAGTCGACTTTGATTTTACACTAATTTTTTTGGTTTAACTTATTATTGATAACATTTTGGGAAACTTTTTTCACACATATATTTGGCAAATGAAACGTGATATACATTTCAACACTCAATTCAATGATTAGATTCAATGAAAAACACAATTTTTAAAACGAAATTATATTTTATTTACAAAAATTTACAAATAAATAAATATTTAATTCAATAAATAACACATATTTATACAAAATTTAGTCGTAAAAAACAAAAACAATATAAAAATCAATATTTTTGGCAAAAATTTAGCAAAACGTCAAAAAATGAGGAAAAAAGTGTTGAGAGAAGAGCTGTAAGAGTCTAACAGAAATACATAGAACTCTTGCGATCGTTTCTGACGTTAATCTTTTGGCTCAGATTATCAAAGTTGGGAACCACTCGTCGAGACAGCCGTAGGTTAGGACTGCCGCCCGAAGAGCCAGAATCCGAGTCACCGGTGGAGCCATTGATGTGTCCGCGGGCGCGATGTGCGGCCAAATGGGCGTAATAGACACACGACGGGATCGACACACTTCGGGTGCAACGCGCGTATGTGTGGCACAGATAGTACGTCAACTCGTGGAGTTGGTCGGCGCCGAACCTGTTCTCGTCGTACAGCACTGCAAACAACACCAATACAACTGTCAGAGCATTCAAAACATGATTAGACATTAGAGACAAACCGTAGTAATAAGACGGACGAGCGGTGCCCTGAATGGCCTCATGAGAGCACAGGTAGAAGTCAAAGTCGGTCGGATGGACGACCACATTGTCCACTATAGTTCCCGGCGGGACGTTCTTTCCACGGCCCACACCGTCCCTCTCGTCGTCCGGAATGAATCTAAAGATAGCAATCATAGGATCAATCAATTTGTGAGACAATGAGTCGACTGTATGTCTGAATACCTGGTGTGGTGTCTCTTCTGGACCACAATGAACGTCAACTTCGGGTTATACCCGACGGCCAGGGATTGAAAGGCGAGCTTTATTTTCCTGATCTCAAAGTCCATGACATACATGAACTGTCCTTCGCTGACGCCATCCCTATAGAAGACCACCTCTTGAGGCAGTTCTCCGTTCTGGCGCTGGTATTCGCGGAGAATCTCATTCACCAATACATCCAATTCGTTGATAATCTCTTCGCGATATCTGTGTTGCACTTTAACCGTCGCGTAGTGTTTGATACAATTGGCGTCGATATTGCCGACCACTGCCGCCACTGAAGCGCACAGTTTATCCGATGGCGAGGGATGGGCCACATCTGCGCCGATGACAACCACTCGTCTGTTGGCCAGAATCGGTGGCAAAGTAGCCAAACAGAGGTTCTCTCCGCCCATTTTGGTGTTAATCTTCAGCAGAATATTTGTGGCCAAAGACTGGTTCATACGCAAGACGTTGTGTTTGCGGACGCATTGAGTGGTGAGTCCGATGTCGATGTCTCCGCACTTCTTGATCTCGTAATAGCATTCGTCGGATTCGATGCCCAGAAAGATGAAGAGATCGACGAATCCATACTTCTCTTCGGCTCTATCGAAGAGTTTCTCCTGAAATGAATGGCAGAATGAAAGCAAAGGCAAAGGGAGAGAGAGAGAGGAAGTGATGGATACCTTAAGGAATCCCCTCTGATATGTCATTTTGACGCGACAGACGGGATCGTTGATATTCATGCCGATCTGTTGGCCGTACTTCTTGAGGGTTTCGATAAAATTGGTGATCTGGTGGTCCTCGAGATTAGTCAGATTGACGACAATCCACTGCTTGACGTCCACTGAGTTGAAGAACTGTCCGATTCGCCACTTGCCGTCCCGAGGGATACAGTGTTTGCCATTGCGTTCCGCGAGAACCGGCGCCTCCAACACACGCGCCGACAGACCGATGGGTTGTGTCGACAGTTTCAGCGAGAATTCGTTGAGATATTTGCGACAATTATCGTTGAGTGCGATATCTTTGGCCGCCTTTTGGATGATTTCGAAGCGCTCTTTAGGTAGAGTTGAGGCACACATTCGGATCATTTCGGCCGTCTGTTGCGGCGGCAGCTTTCGGTTCACGTGCTGGTCGTTGGCGAGTCGGCACACTTCCAGCGGGTAATACGTGGGCCTCTGACCGCTGCGGACGATAACGCACGGCCAGTGCGGAGCCTTCAGTTCGTGGTATTCCTGTTTGAAATACTCGGCAACAGAGACACTGCCTTCGGATATCTTCTCGCCTCTGCGGCCCCTCTTTGTCCACAGGAAGTGCAGGTCTTGAGCCGACTCTCTGGTGATGCCATGGATTTTGTACTTCTTGTGGAACCGGAGGTGAGACACTTGGATGAGAAGGCCTTTGAGTTCGCGCTCAACGCGTTTCCTCTCGAAGTCATTCCACTTGTATTTCATCATAGATTCGCACTCTTTGTACGGAAACAAACTCTTGACGAAGTCCTCAATGGATCCGTTGGCCCAGAAGGCAGTGCACGCGCGGTCGACCACCAGTTGGGCGCCGCCGACACACGGTCTCAACGACTGGTAGATACCGAACGCCAATTGCTTTCCGCCGCCGATATTAATGCGATTATCCGGCGATGGGTTGAACAGCGACTGACCGATGGATATCTTGGAGCCGATGAGTCCCTGTCTGAGGACAATATTGAGCGCTTGGATGTGTTCGAAGGGAATGGCGTTCGTCTTCTTATCGAAGTATAGCCGCAAACCGTTAAGACTTATCGTATTTCCCGTGTATTTGATATTAAAGGCGAACTGCGAGTCCACCGACTGGTCGTCCGGCACTTCCACTACAATACGCGTGGGTTTGCCGTCGCATGAGATGCCGGCCAGTGGTCCGCACGAGAACATCGCTTTGGATCCGTCGAAGACTGGCATCGAGTTGTAGAACAGCTTTCCGTACGACTTGTTCTCATCGACCGCTTTGGCGAAGATCTTGCGGCACAAGTTGTCCGACAGTTTGCGAAAGCGTCGCCTCTCGTCGCCGGCGGCCGCAGACAACCGGAACGCTTGCGGCAGACACTCGATGGACACCTGATATCTGTAGATGACTTTCTTGGCGTTGAAGTCGACGGCGAAGTGATTGGTGTTGAGGACAATGCGGCGGCCCTTCTGTCCAAAGCCGGGTCGCGGAACGAACTGCGAGCACGACATGAGCCGCTCGTTCTTCAGGTGCAGACCCGCTCTGACCAGAGCTGACTTCGGCGTCGGAACGCATAGAGCCGTCGGATCCGATGACTGGGGTTTCGGTGCCATCGCTCACAATAGGACTCTATAGGGATGTACTTAAGGTGATAGTGAAGACACAACCAATGGGTGAGTATGTGTTGACTGATGAGTCGCTGACACCAACCGATGGAGTGGTGACGGAGTTGTGTGGACACAAAGTGTGGATCAAATGAACAGATAATTGAGTTTTCAATAGACAGACGATTGCTTTGAATGGGATTTCAGTAACGAATGACTCATCCGTTGAATCGGTTTAACAGTTGTCTGGAAATTGGATTCGAATTCAAATTCAAATTCAAAATTGAATTTCAAATCGCGTTTCAAAAAGTTTCGAACGAATCGATGAATGCGACGACAATTGGCGCCAAAACTGCGTTCGAATCGCTATTGAAGTGATAGTCGAGAGACTGAGTGCGCACTCTATGAGCGCTCGACTCTATGTTCGGCGTTATTGTTGTGCCGAACGTTCGGTACGTTTTGTACTCATTATTAGCGCATAGTATGGCATAAAAAGGGCACAAATTGCGAAACATATAGCGATTGTATGTGTTTTCCAATGCAATGAATGCCACAGTGTTTACAGTGTTTGCGATTGCAGTCATATTCAGTGATCGCATGACAACAACAGACCATTGATTCAGTCATTCAGTCATTCATCGGATGTTTAGTTGAATACAAGACTCGACACAAAGCGAGAGCCGATTGACAGCCACTCGACTCACGACATGTCGGACAGCGAAGAGTCCAACAGAGACTCAGACAATGAGGTAATGCTTTGGGCGACCATTGAATCCATTGAATCCATTGAACGGATGTGTTGACACATTTGCGTCCACTCTATAGGCCGAAGAGGACAACAGAGAGCCAGAAGTGGCGGACGAAGAGGAGCCGGAAGGCGAGGACTTGGATGCGGAGGAGGAGTACTCGGAGGACTCGGACGAGGATGAGGTGCGCGGCGGCGGCCGACGGCGTGGGAAGCGGTCGAAGCCACGACACGGAGGCTTCATCTTAGACGAGGCGGAAGTGGACGACGAGATCGAAGACGACGAGGAGTGGGAAGACGGCGCCGACGAGATCATCGAGAAGAACAAACACTTGGAGGACTCGGCCCGCGATCAAGAGGGACACCGAAGGATTCACATGATGTGGAACTCCCAGAAGGAGGACGAGATCGAGGACTACTATCGCCGCAAATACGCCGAGACGTCGGCCGCCGAGAAGGGCTACGACGGCGACGTCGATCTGCCCGACGATATCACACAACAGGCACTGATGCCCGGCGTTAAGGATCCCAACCTATGGATGATTAAGTGCAAGATTGGCGAAGAGAAGGCCACTGTTCTGCAGCTCATGAGGAAGTTTATCGCCTTCTCGACCACCGATGAGCCGCTGCCCATCAAGTCTGTGGTCGCGCCCGAAGGTTGGTCTCAGTCTTAGGACTGAAGTGTTTTGATCCCAAAAAACGTTAACAAATCTTATTTTATTGATTGCAATGTTATATAGGAATCAAAGGCTATATCTATATCGAGGCCTTCAAACAAACTCACGTCAAGCAAGCGATTCAAGGGATGGGAAACTTACGGCTCGGCATTTATAGGCAGACAATGGTTCCCATCAATGAGATGACGGATGTGTTGCGCGTCACGAAAGACAACCAACAGATCAAAGTGAACCAATGGGTGCGCCTCAAGAGGGGTCTCTATAAGGACGACTTGGGACAAGTGGATTACGTGGACACCGCCCAGAATCAGGTCCACCTGAAGCTCATTCCCCGCATAGACTACACGCGACTGAGGGGTGCGTTGAGGGCCGCGACCAACGAGAACGACAGTCTGAAGCGTAAGCGCCAGAAGCGTCCGCTGCCGAAGCTCTTCGATATGGACGCGATTCGTGCGATCGGTGGCGAAGTGACCAACGATGGGGACTTCATTATCTTCGAGAGCAATCGATACCGTCGGGGCTTTCTGTACAAAGCGTTCACAACGACAGCGCTGCTGATCGACGGCGTGAAGCCCACGCTCTCCGAGTTGGAGAAGTTTGAGGAACACCCGGAAGGCATTGAACTACAGCTCAGCGAGAGTACGATCGCCGAAGACAAGGGCCACAGCTTCTCACCCGGCGATACCGTCGAGGTATGCGAAGGAGAGTTGGCTCACCTCCNTCGCCGAAGACAAGGGCCACAGCTTCTCACCCGGCGATACCGTCGAGGTATGCGAAGGAGAGTTGGCTCACCTCCAGGGAAAGATCATTACCATCGATGGCAATAAGATAACGATGATTCCGCGTCACGAAGACCTCACGGATCCGCTCGACTTCCAGGCGCACGAACTCCGGAAGTACTTCAAAATGGGTGATCACGTGAAAGTGATCGCCGGTCGCTATGAGGGCGACACCGGACTTATCGTACGCGTAGAGGACTCGCAAATCGTACTCTTCTCCGACCTAACGATGCATGAGCTGAAGGTATTGCCCAAAGACTTGCAACTGTGCGCCGATATGGCGACGGGTGTGGACACGTTGGGTCAGTTCCAATGGGGAGATTTGGTACAAATGGACGCACAGACTGTCGGTGTGATCGTACGGCTCGAGAAGGAGAACTTCCAGATACTGAACCAAAACGGAAAGTTAGTTCACGTCAAACATCAGGCGGTGTCTAAGAAGCGCGACTCTCGGCGTGCGGTGGCTCTGGACTCCGAACAGAACCAAATCCAAGTGAAAGATCACGTGAAAGTGATAGACGGCCCGCACTCCGGACGTCAGGGAGAGATTAAACACTTGTACCGAAACTCGGCGTTTCTCTACTCGCGGATGATGTTAGAAAACGGCGGTATATTTGTCTGCAAAACACGACATTTGATACTCGCCGGCGGTTCCAGACCTCTGTCGGCCTCTGGCGTTATGAACACCAGCGCCGGGTATATGTCTCCGCGCATAGCGGCCTCACCCGCACACCCGTCGAGCGGTGGAGGGGGTGGTGGAGGAGGCGGTGGCGGCGGTCGGGGAATGAACGCGAAGGGCGGTCGCGACCGATCGGATCTGGAACTGATCGGGAAGACCATTAAGATAACTCAGGGAACGTATAAGGGATACATCGGTATCGTGAAGGACGCCATCGGGACCACAGCTCGCGTCGAACTGCACGCCACGTGTCAGACGATTACTGTGGATAAGACACGTATCGTAGTTGTGGGCAGCGGTGGCGGCGAAAAGGGTCCGAGCGGTGGTGTTTCCACTTACGCCCGAAACACCCCGATGTATGGCAGTCAGACCCCGATGTACGGCACCGGCAGTCGTACGCCAATGTATGGCGGGGCCAATACGCCTCTGCACGACGGCTCGCGAACGCCCGCCTACGGTGGCGGCGGTGCGACACCGATGCACGACGGGTCGCGCACTCCCGTCCACACGTCCTCCATCTGGGATCCCACGGCTTCCACTACACCGCGACCCGACTTTGAATACGACGACCCGACGCCCTCGCCGTCCAATCCCTCGTATCTGAATCCTCCAACGCCTGGATATGTCAACCCCGAGACCCCTCCCGGCGGTCCATATACTCCGCAAACACCCGGAATGTACGCCTCTTCAGACCATTCCTATTCACCATACGGTCCGGCGGCCACTCCTTCGCCGTCATACAGCGCTCCGGGCACTGCTCCGAGTCCAGCATCGGCTGGTTATATGACTCCCAGTCCCGCATACAATAACCCGCTGAGTGTTAACCCGTCGCCGTCGCCCACCGGTTACGGCTACTCACCGATGACGCCGGGAGTGTCGTCGCCGCACTTTAACCCTCAGACCCCCGGAGCGGGAATGGAACAGTCGTACTCTATGGAGTGGCAAACCACTGACATCGAGGTCCGCATCAAAGACCACGACGACGACGACCTCATCGGCCAAACGGGAATCGTTAGGGGAATATCGGGCGGAATGTGTGCCGTATTCCTACTCAAAGAGGACAGAGTTGTCAACATTCTGTCCGAACACTTGGAGCCAGTGATACCACAGGCCAACGATAAGGTATGTCTTCTCGTACCCAATCATAAATGGTTTGATTTTGCGATTAATGGTTGTATTTGTTTATAGTTTAAAGTAATCTTCGGCGAAGACCGCGAGAATACGGGAATTCTGTTGAGTATCGACGGCAACGAAGGTGTGGTTAACTTCACTTCTGGAGACGCGGATGACATCAAAATGCTTCCCTTGAGATACTTGTGTAAAATGAAGAAATGAGAGTTCAATGCATCGCTTTTAATATGTTTCGTCGATTTATTATACGTTTGATTGGATTTGTTTTCATAATCACTTCAATTATGGAAAATAAAATACTTTTTTAATCATTCATTTCATTCTTATGGAAAAGTTGTATTTATTTTACCTTTTCTTACAATCTATTAATCTATTCTTATGTTAATCACAATATTTTTAATTCAATAATAAATGATTAGTTTCAATGATAAGGACTGTACGACTGAATTCATTTTGTAAATGATTTAAATTTAGTATTTTTAGCATATTTTCTATACAATTGGAGTGAATTTTGTTCATACAATAGATAATAATTTAGTTAATATTTGGTTTAAGTGCTTGTTTATGGAAAGTTTCCTCATATTCTTGAGATCCGATCGACAAATAGGACACGACTTGACACCAGATTTAAAAGACTGTTCCAATAATCATTCATTTCATTCTTATGGAAAAGTTGTATTTATTTTACCTTTTCTTACAATCTATTAATCTATTCTTATGTTAATCACAATATTTTTAATTCAATAATAAATGATTAGTTTCAATGATAAGGTACTGTACGACTGAATTCATTTTGTAAATGATTTAAATTTAGTATTATTAGCATATTTTCTTATGTTATCTATTATTAAATCAATTATAAACCAAATTCACGAACAAATACCTTTCAAAGGAGTATAAGAACTCTAGGCTAGCTGTTTATCCTGTGCTGAACTGTGGTCTAAATTTTCTGACAAGGTTACATTCCTAATATACATATATATGTATATGGGATTCATATAATTGGTGTTAATTAATGCATAAATGCATTCAATTGTGACATACTTTGCATATATTGTGAGAACAATGTGTAGTGACCGGCCTTTTAACCACATCTAAACAATAGACGCATTTGAAGTTTAATTCAACATTTTCTATGAATTTCTGTGTTTTTTGAATTAAAATAAATAACAAAAAGTTATGATTAATGACTCAAAAAGGGAAACACTTCAACACAAATACCTTTTTGCCGTCTTTTGTATGTCCCTTTTCGCCATTGAATGTCGCGAAACAGTTGAGTGCCAGCGCTTTATTGCAACGCTTCAACTCCTGATCCTTTATCTGCGGTCCTCCGACCCGACACTTATTGCCCGAGTCTTTGCCGCCCGAAGCCGTGTAATAGAACTCGAGTCCCAAATCAATGTCTTCGGCGTAAGAGCACGAAAACACTATAGAATAGGCGCCACAATTCTCTTTGCCGTGAATTCCGGCCACAAGTGGTGTATGAACTCCCGCTTCGGACGCCTGGAAGCGGAAGCGCCACCACATCCCCACCTCTACGCCCGGAATGCATCCGAAATGGTTTTTGGGAACCGTTTCGCACACCTGAGTGCGACCCACGCAAGCCATCCCTCGGCCCCAGTCTTTGACTCCGACGCGATTCAAGTTATTCTTCCGTCGATTCAATTGATTGGTCTGAATGGCCATCAATTGGTTCCTATCGGTGTTGTCGCACACATCGCAATACCAGTCCTCGTCGGGCACCGCATCTAATGGTGTCTTCAGACACCATATATGGTAAATAGCGTTACATTCATCGCAAATGATCTGCTTCTCAGGCGAAGTCTTGGCCCCGCATTCATTGCACGAACACTTCTTGCAATCGAGTGATGAGTTGTCGTGGCATTGGTTACAATCCGGAGGTGTCTGTCCTGTCAACGCGTTTTCACATGCAATCAATCAATCAATATATCTTTCATGGGGTATATATTTATAGTGTAATTGCATTTTTTAAAAATTCATTATATGTTAAGTCATTTATATTCAAAATTCAATCATATTTAGGACTTATTTGTGAGAAGTGTTTGAATTTTCCAATTATTTTCTGTATAAACTTGACGTTTGAGTGGATAAAAAAATTTCAAACATTTTGTTTGCATAAAGTTTTTATTTATTTGAAAACTATTACTTGAATTTAATTAAAAGCACAAACACTGGCCGTCCTTTCAGTGAACAGATTTTGGTATTAAATTTATTGTTTGTTTTCTGTTCACGAGTTTAGTGTTTAGATAGTGTTTGTCTAAAACAATGTTTTGTTTTATTAATAAACAATTTACAAACAAAATGTTTTTCTGCGAGACAATGGGTTACCGGACGGCCAGCAAAATAAATGGGTTATGGGTTACCGGTATTATAGCTATAGCTCTATAATAAAATAGTTATGACTCGAGAATTGCAAATAACTTTAAATTTATTCAAATCCTGTTGTGAATGGCATTCATTGAAATAAATAATAAAATGAAAATTATAATATATTTGCAAAAATGTATTTTTATACCCGTTTTGCCACTAATAAAAAAGCGGTTAACAAAAAAGCCACAACTCATCTAATTTTCAATAGAGTGTTGTAACTTGAGTTATGATTTCAATTATTTTAGTCTTTATTCCTAGCGTTTATGCAATACATGTATGTTATTATGTACTGTACTCTGCTTTACATACAGTGAACAATATATTATACCTTATATTCAAATGAATAGAAATGTAGAGTAGTTTTGAGAAAAGGGATTTGAGGCAAAAAAAACTTACGTTTCGTTTTGACGCCACTTTTCACCACCGATTCATTATCTGTCGAGCGCTCCGTTATCTTAACATTGGTTTCAATTCTGTAGATCTCGTCAATGAATTGAATTTTTTGTCCTTTCACTACAATATCCGCCAAATATATTGTGGCAAAAAGTTTTCGCTTTGTTAGCAATTTTTTCTCAATCACACACTCATACCAATAACCCCTTTCCTCAGCGCAATCATTGTTATAGTTAGCCAACACTCTCTCCCCTTCCTTAATGTCATCAAACGATAAGACTGTCGACGATTGGGGTCTTATTTGTCGCAACTCTAGTCCTATATTAGAGCCAATCGATTGTTTCTCGAAATCCACATAATATTTGTGTTCATTTGTCCGATAATTGGCTGTTATTCTAGCGATTCTGGCCTCAAACCAGGCGCCCGACTCCCCGTCCACGGCGTCCACACAGTCTCCCACACGATAATAGTCGTCCCCTTCGATGCCCTTCTCATCCTTATCGCAGTCATCATTATTTATATCATTATTTTGGGCTAACGTTGAGTTATCTTCGCTAATATTGACGGCTCTCTCGTTAGCGGCCAAACATTGCGGTCGAAGCATAACATGTATAACATTATTAAGTTTGATATTATATTCATAGAGAGAATATCCATCGTTTAGCTATAAAATTATACATAAATGTGTGATATTTTTAATGAATGCGAAAGTCATGCGAAAAAGTTTAATTAACAATAGTTTGCGAGTAAACTATAATAAGTGTAGTTATTGTCCAACAAATACCTCTTTGCCGTCGAAGAAAAGTCTGACTCGAGATATACTGTTTTGGTAATTGAGTTTTTGGGCCACTTTTGCGCGCAACTCATCCATGGATTCATTAATAGAGCGACAATTGATGTGAAATGTTTGGCTGTCTGTGTCGGCCCCCAACACACGGATTCTTACATACATTTTGCTTCAATTATAGTTAAACAACAATTTATAGTAACAGTGCTGTAGTGTTAGTATACAGTAGTAGTAGTTGTGGTCTAACTATGTGTCGTGCGAACCAAAAAACAAGCCGAGAAAAAGCCGACCGACAAAACGACAAAACTTTTCAAACACACAATTAGTAACTCATTTTTGGCTCATTTCTGTTGACACACATTAGATCGAGAGAGAGAATGAGAAAACAATTTTTATATTAAAACAGCTTTCGTTTGGCGTTTCGTAAATAAATACAAAACTAATTTTGGCGAAACAGAAATAAACAATCAATTCAGACCACAACTCGATAGTGACTGAGAAAAAACATTTGCCATATGTTTGAGTCCCAAATGTATACCAAAAGCAAAAGCGTTTCGACAAGAGTTTTGGTGTCCAAAAAAGAAAGAGCTTTTTGAACGCCAAATATACAGACAAAAAGTCTGTTAGAAAAAAATGTTTTATGTTTAAAACCAATGCCAGAGCCTCTCTCTATCCCTATTCAGTGCCTAACATTTCTCCACATCTCCTCCACTCTCTTTCTCTCTGCCATCCATTTCTATGCAAACGAAATGCACTTTTTCTAACGAATCCCCTCTCTATCAGTGAAGACCAGGTGCCCAATACAGGCCAATACAACCCAATACAACCAAAACTACCCAACACTACCCAACACTACCCAATACAACCTAATACAGCCCAACAGAGACCCTACTCCCTCAGCTGTGTGTCTCACTTCAATGCCATACACACTATACACACACTCTCTGCCATTCATTCATCATTATTACCCCGAATAAAAAGGATTGAACACAAGGACACACAAAAACGAAATGATAGTTTCCTAATTTAAAATAAATATATAAGACCTACATTTCATACCCGTGTTCTCTACTGACCCCTTTTCTCAACCCCAGAATATTATTCGGCCGTCACCTACACCAAAAGTAGACATTCTTCTCGTATTTCAATTTACTTTATATTAGGAGACAATGCGTTGATTGAAATAATCAGTGAAAAGTTATGACATTTTACTGTTGAGAATCCACTACAAAGTTATAGCGTTTTGAGAGTTGAATATTTATTTATACAATTCCTTATATTTGTTTATACCATAAAATTCAATGCAAATATCATTGATTTTAATGCTTAATAAATTTTAAATAAATTACTCTTTAATTTATTAAAGTATGGCTCAATTTTTAAATAAATAAACAGATTTCTGAGAATAGATTCTGACATTAATAAAATATACATTAGATTTATTATATACTTGTAATAATTGTTTAGTGATTGTCATCAATAATATTGGAAACAATTTGATAGAAATCAGATAACGAGTTAATAACATAAAACTTGAATTTATTAGTTTTTTTGCTTTACTATCAAAGGATTAAATTTTATTTATATATTCTGGATGTAAAGTATGGGCACAAGAGATGACTGGGGAAAAGAGTTGGGGTCTTATAATAAGCCGGCAGTGGATGTGGTTTTCATCGCATTCTTCTCGTATTTCAATTTACTTTATATTAGGAGACAATGCGTTGATTGAAATAATCAGTGAAAAGTTATGACATTTTACTCTTGAGAATCACTACAAAGTTATAGCGTTTTGAGAGTTGAATATTTATTTATACAATTCCTTATATTTGTTTACACCATAAAATTCAATGAAAATATCATTGATTTTAATGCTTAATAAATTTTAAATAAATTACTCTTTAATTTATTAAAGTATGGCTCAATTTTTAAATAAATAAATAAACAGATTTCTGAGAATAGATTCTGACATATTATTTTATATGTAATCTAAATAATATATGAACATTATTAACAAATCACTAACAGTAGTTATTATAACCTTTGTTAAACTATCTTTAGTCTATTGCTCAATTATTGTATTTTGAACTTAAATAATCAGAAGGCATTATGAAAATAAATAATATGGTTAATGATTGACTCCTCGGAGCCATTATAGCCATTATAACCATTATAGCGATTATAGCCTTAATCTTTGGCTAATTAATGTGTTTTAACGAATAAATCGTCAAATTTATTGCTATTTGAAGAACACGTGTTCCCTATTCTCATACCTATTATTATATAATTAATGAACAAATGTATGACTAATATAGAGAAAAATGTTTCTTCAAAATTACAGGAATTGACTTTTGATAATAAGTTCATGTAATTAATTATTTGACTTTATTTTATATTAAATGTTTAATATATGATAATATTTTTCGGGCCTTCAATTTGCTTTGAGATATATATAGAAATTTTTGTCGATTTCGCAAACTTTATAACTTAAACATAAGTTTACGCATAAAATAGTATTTTTCTTCATTCAAACGCTTAAAAAGCAGATAAAGTAATGTTAAAAGTTTTAAACTAATTAACCGGATTTTTGTCAGAATGTAAAAATATATATGGCAATACAAAGTGAAGTTTTTGTAAATCAAGGCGTGTTCTTAAAAAACGTCAGTTTATATAATAAGTTTAGTAATATTCTTTGTATAAAATTTTCTATATTCATTAATATATATTGAATATTAATGCTTTCATTAGACAACTGTGTACTAGAAATGAGCGACACATTTGAATAAAAATAAAATTTTATTAACTATTTATTTATTTTTTATTCGTCGAAATATTTGTCACTAAAAATCTGTGTATAAATACAGAGAAATGCCATCAAATGAGGAGTAAAATGCATTTTTCAAACTAATAATTTATATGACACTCGTATTAAACGCCACTTAAAAATATTTTTGATACCAACAAAACCTGATGTCGGAAAACAACATTATATACCAGTTGTTCGTCGATTCAATGTTTCTGCGAAAAAATGATAAATATTTCAAATAAACAACAAAAAATAGTTTGTCGTTTGGGATGAATGTATGTGTGTATGTACTGTACTGTACAGTACATGTTCGGTGTGTGTATACCGGGAGTAATCGGTATTTGATTCCCCGATGTATTTAAGTGATGGGAGGAAAAAATGAGTTCACATTTGAAAATCAAGTTTTAATGATGCAATTGATTACCACTTATTGTCTAAAAACAGTCTTACATTTTTATATATACCGTTATGTTTCACTTCAAAAACATTTAGTTCCGCACAAGAATTTTTTGCAGTCAAATATATTATTCAAATCATTATAAGAAACATATTTTAAAAGATCATTCATTAATATATATTGAATATTAATGCTTTCATTAGACAACTGTGTACTAGAAATGAGCGACACATTTGAATAAAAATAAAATTTTATTAACTATTTATTTATTTTTTTATTCGTCGAAATATTTGTCACTAAAAATCTGTGTATAAATACAGAGAAATGCCATCAAATGAGGAGTAAAATGCATTTTTAAAACTAATAATTTATATGACACTCGTATTAAACGCCACTTAAAAATATTTTCGATACCAACAAAACCTGATGTCGGAAAACAACATTATATACCAGTTGTTCGTCGATTGAATGTTTCTGCGAAAAAAATGATAAATATTTCAAATAAACAACAAAAAATAGTTTGTCGTTTGGGATGAATGTATGTGTGTATGTACTGTACTGTACTGTACTTACAGTATATGTTCGGTGTGTGTATACCGGGAGTAATCGGTATTTGATTCCCCGATGTATTTAAGTGATGGGAGGAAAAAATGAGTTCACATTTGAAAATCAAGTTTTAATGATGCAATTGATTACCACTTATTGTATTAAGAAAAATAAACTAACTTTTTAATAGTTGTATGTATAGTATGTGTGCGCTCTTTGCACAGCCTCTGCCTTTGCATTCCGGAACTGCATTACGCGTTCAGGTTTGCCATCAATTGTAAGGTTTGGCCATAGATTCAGTCTTCAGGACTTATTTCTCATAGAGAGAGGAGAATACCAGTCATTCCGGAGAGAGAGCAAATAATTAGTAATTACATATGAAATGATTTATTCCCTATTTTCTCACGTAATAGTAATAGTTATTATTAATTAGTGATTTTA